CAAAATCCATCAAAACCATGGGCTATAGTCCATGCTTTTTGGCCAAAAATGACCCATTTTGATCTTTGTTTGAATAATGCATGTACTTGGTGAAAGTGTGATATATCATATAGAGTTGTGGTATTGAATAGTTATTAAGTTGGTGGAAATTTTTTTATTTCATTTCAAGGATATTTATTTTATCTATATTCATTCATAATGACCAAAGTGCAGTTATTTGCCCATAGAATAATTCTCATCTGCTATTCGGTCAGAATATGATTTTCGTTCAGAAATGTTTTTTATTTAGATGTATAATGAATGAAAACTTTTGCAAGAGCGGGTTATTAAATCCTTCTGCGATTGAATGGCAAATTCTAAGTCTTCCTTCTAAAGCACTGATTTTGCTTAAACTTCTTTGTCTTTCTTCTAAAGCACTGATTTTGCTTAAACTTCTTTGTTTACACTTGTTGAAGGCGTTTTTTATTGAATAAAAAGCCTTCTCTTCTCCTTTATTTCATCTCAAAATAGCGTCCATATACACCTAATTGAATAAACGTATTCGGGTTCGAGAAGGTCATGTCATCGAAGCTAAGAACGAAAAGGATTTTGGGTACTCCRAAATGTGTATCATATTTGCATATAGACATGTAAAAATGCAAAGTAGAGCAGAGTCGGTCGACCTAGATTAAMAACATGCCAAAGCCATGATGCATAAAATGTGCACAGGAAGGGAAAACTGCAATACGCATGAAATTAGCATAATTGTATGTCTTCCCATGCTCCCCTTCGGTCTTAGCTTTAATAATATAACCTTTTTTTGAATCCGACAACGTTTTTTCAGTTAGATGTATTAGCAATAGGATTTTTTAAAGTTCCTTTAATTTAGTTATATAGTGTGTAGTTAGTATTTCTCATAAACAGGGCTGTAATTTTCAGTGTAGTTTGTGGCGGTGGTTTGTGTCGATATCGTCCCAAAGAAATTTTGCTAAAGGGCTTTGGATTATGATTAGTGACTCGTTTAGATTTTAAACTTACCTTTTAAATGAATGGCTCCCGACCATTCTGTTAATTCCATCGCTTCATAACAAGTACATCCCTCAAATGTACCAAGCAAAAATAATCTTCTCGCTACGTCGTATCCACAAGAAATTCCTCTCTGATACAAACCATCTTTCATCGTCCTTCGAGTGAATATACAAATCACTGTTGATTTTCTCGCATTCTTTTCTTTGTCGAATAAAATTTTTTCAGCAACATTACTACACGTAACTGATAAAGCATACTCTTGGCTCTTCTTAGAGTTTCTCATAAAATTGATACAAATATCTTGAAGAGATTGAACGATAGGTATCCCATGTACCATTCTCTCGATCGACCTAAGAAAGCCCTTTCGATGCTTAACAGTTTTACCTCAAGCCTCAAAGATTCTCGATTCTACGAACAAACCTTTTATTCGTCTACAAAACATTGTTTTGTATTATCTTTTACTTGATACATATTTTTTAAGCCGTTATGTGTTATTAAACTTTAAACACTAACGTTTCTCTTTGTTTTTGAATAGAACCTTTAATACTAGAAAGGTCATATTTCGCCAATTAAATTGTCTTAAATCTCAAACAAATGTAAACAGATATTCTTGAAGAGAGCTTGAGATATTCTCTTAGTTGTATAGCATGAATAATTAAAGATAAGTGTAAGATAGTTGAATTGTGGTTCTTAATGTGGTTTTAAGAGGTATGGGACCCTAAGATTTTTTTAAAAAAACCATTCATTAAAACTAAAAATGTCCCTATCGAATAACCGACCATAAACATCGAATGATTTACCTAACGATTGTCAAGCTTTTGAGATGAAATACCCTAATTCAATCACTTTTTAAGCTGTTAATATTCTTTAGTAATCTTTTATTTAAATACATCGAAAGACATCGAGAAAGATGTGTGAAATGGTGGCAGCGTTGGGACGAAAGGAATATTCCGCGATAAAATTAAATTAAATTTAAAAAAATAAAWAAATAAAAATAAAAATAGAAAAAAAAAAGATAGTACTACAAAATACAATTATTGAAAAGTATAGCACAGCAAAGCCAATTTTATCTTTTTTTCAGGCAAAGAAAACAAATCATAAACGTAAGAAAGCTTTAATATAAACATTTTTTGTGAAAACAGAAACTAATTTAATTCGAAAATAAAACGGATAAAAATTGTTTGAAAAAAAATGTATGAGCACTAGAAAGTGATGTAAAATAATGACCATGAAATACCGAGACATTCCCTTTATTTTGACAATATTAATCTTAATCAGTTATCGATCTTTTGTAGCAGTTTTTGAGTGGTTCCTTCAAGGTGACTTTGATAAAACTATCTTTAGGCCTTTCTTGAGAACCAAGCCGATGATATTCCATCTCGCTGCAATTCATTTTCGTCTTTAGCTCTTTCCAAATCAGTAAAACTTGCTTCAATCCATCCTTCCTGTCTCTTACCTATTCTTGAAAACTCTTCTGTATGGGGAAAATCTTCAGCTTCTTTGTCTGTCATTGCTTCGACTTGATTCGTACGAACGTGGAATGGAAAGTTCTTGTTGGCATCTGTTGGTCGCGTAAGGAAGAGGAATATCGTGTATGCAATAGCACAAATCAACAGGTCCACACCTTTAAGAATTCGCACTCTTTTCCAGGACTTAACATTCATGTAGCTCCATAATATTAGTGAAGGTTTTAATAAGAACCAAACAGAAAAACAGGCACAGAACCAACAGTAAAAACCTTTCTTCTCCGGGTAACAACACACAGTGGATATGGAAGTATAAACAAACCAAACCCAGGCAGATATTCTTAATGAAATAATCGTCCTCCCTGCGTAGTTATCGAAATCATTTCGTACAACACCAGGATTGTTGTCAAAGAGTTCTGTCTTCCAAACGAATAAGACGATGTAAAATATCCCATAAATTAAAGCGAATGTGGCGATTTTGATCTGATTAAAGGAAGAGAGTTTACCACGAGTTATTGTGAAGCCTTTAGCGAGAAGTAGAAGTAGAATGATGAACATAATTTCACTAACAGCATGAAATACAGCTCCCGTTGTTTGTATAGACATACTCTGTTTGCCATTCACGATATATTCCATGTAATAAATTGTCTCAAATATCAACGCAGTTTCTTCATAACCCAAAGAAATGATAAAGACCCGATAGGGTCGATGAAGGAACTTCAAAACCGATAAATGCCTCGCAAATGCAAGACCAATAACGAATGCAAATGTGAAGATAATAAGAAAAGCTATGGTTATTTCCACCATGAGGGTGTCATCAGCTGATAAATGTCGATCCCAGGAATCTCCATTGGTGATAGTGAATTCGTACTTTACGTTGAGAGGTGAGGGTTTGATGTCATCGCAATGGCTCAACACCAGGAACCACCAACGTGATCGAATCGCAATAAAACGAAGTACTCCCGAACATCGACGAAAATGCACTCCATGTTCGAGATAATTCTCGCAGTTTATAGCGTTACTGGAAGAATCTAACTTAAACTGAAGAAGGTTCGAGCCGTGATATTTGGAGGCAAATTTCAGCTTGGAGGAACAGTGCATGTCATGACGAGGATAAACCTCAGACCAGTGATCATCGTAGTAGAATACCAGACTTGGGCAACATTCATTGGTTAATAGATACTCAACTTTATAGTCAAGCTTGCCTTCTTCGTTCAAGAATACAAATCGTGTGACAAACACCCAGCTAGATGAAGTATGGATGTAACCTTCTACATACTTTGCATCGCTTTTCCAAAGTACAGATATAAACACCACTAGCGTCCATAATGTCTTAAACATCAAAGCTAGGCACCACACCAACTGGAATTTAAAGAAATTTTCCTTATCCAAAGTTAGTTACTCATCTAGAAAACGTCCAACTTTTAGCGGCTTTGTTGACGTCACAACTCACAAGTGCTCATGCGCACTTACGTTATTATGACATCATAGGAAACAGTCTGCACGCGCGCGTCTTTTTCAACGAACGAAAAACACTCAAAGAACTATACTTAGATCTTATTAACAGAGCGGGAGGTCTGTACGGGATAATCTTGACCGAGGTCTGTACCCGACCGAGGTCAAGATTATCCCGTACAGACCGACCAAGGTCGGTTGATAAGAGTTTTATTATATGACCACTTTTCATTGAAAAGGACAAAATGTTTTCGCCATAAGATTAATATGCGATCGGACCGGTTAATACCGGAGAATCTAGACCAGTCCGCGATGCGATCTATCCAATCAGATTGCTCGATTTGCTAGTGTCCAGGCTCTAAGATTCACGGTCATATAATAAAAGAGAATATGAACTAGTTCATTCTCTTTTGAACTATAACTATAGAGGTTTTACACCATCACGTGACGGTAGCCATGTTAGATGACAGGAACAACGCAATCGTCTTATATGAGAAAGTGTTCAATATTTTTTATTCCAGTTTTTGGCAGCAAACAGTTCAAAAAACATCAATTGATATGTCTGCATAATTATTAATTTACTTCTAATAAAAATTCACTCTTTTTATCAAACTCTTACTATTTACAATTGATATATTCACACTATCTTATARTTTTTCCAATATAAAAATAAATATAAATAAATAGATTTAAATAGTTTCGAATATCGCAAATTTTGTTTAAGATTTTCACTCGCTGAATTATTCTTCGTGTTACGTCATAGCCGCCATCTTGGTTGATKATAACRAAGCATTCCTCATTAGCTTCTCTTGTTAAATCATCCGACATGGTGGCTAATTCATTGTTATTTATATCTCGAGGAATTCTGAGTCATGTGGTTGCACTCAACAATTATTTCATATTATTCTCTGCGCTGCAGGACGCGTTGCAAGTTGCGCTCGACTCACATTGGGGATAATTAATATTTTAAAAGTTATTGTCCTTTGAAATCATGCATTAAAATCGAAATATAAAACGATGCTAATCCAAGTAAGATCAATTCCAATATTTTTTATGTCTCAAACATGAAAATCAACCTTCGGGTGATTTTTCTCTACGGATATTGTAAGGGAAGAATAAAGAAAAAAGAAAGAAAGAAAAGAAAGAAAGAAAGAAAGCAACTAAGAAAAAAAAGAGCTCAAAATGAGTTGTAATCGAACGCACTAGTCGTGTTCAGGAAAATCATCGGGGAAAATTAATTTTCTACTTCCAAGAGCCCGCGTTTCTTAATGACCGCTGGCTGCAAACGAATACAATTGACACCTTCTTCTTATTGGCTGAAGTTTACATGGAAAAACGACATCAAATCAAACCGGAAGCAGATAATTAAACGCTCGTTTCCGGTGATTAGATTCGCCGAGACCGTTTCATTTCTTGGCGGAGACCTCAAGGAACAGGAACACTGGAAACGAGTTGACGCGCTTGCCTTTTTTTCACGCCACCTAAACGACCACGGGTAGTACTATGAGAGCTCAACAGGCGTCGCTGGTTCCCTAGCAACCGTAGTTTTAGTTTCACTGTCCTGATTCTCTTGCAGTTCTGATTGAAGATTATTATTTTTCTCCCCCTCAGTAGTCCAGGCCAAAATAGAATTACACTTTCTACCATTGGGAGACTTGAATGGTACTACAACTGTTGGACTGTTTACGATTTCCTGGTTTTCTTTTYGTGGATTCAATGTTTCTTCAGCATCACTTTCATCACTGTTCGTAGTAGTAGCTCGTACTTCGTCGTCACAAGCAGAGACAACACTAACTTCACTACTTTCTCTTTCTGATAATTTTTCGCCTTCTTCATTTGAGAATCCTTCATTTGTTTTATTTCTTTCCTCGGCGAGATGAGCCTGGAGCGATTCGAGAAGCTTTCGTTCCTTGTATTGTCGTATCGCTCGCACGATAACTCTCGCTGCCATGATTTGCCGATTGATTTCCATGGTCGTATTAGTTAAAACCTGCTGTTTCCTCGAAGGAAAAGCAGCTTTGAATCGTTCTTCCATGTTCTTCATGACGAGCTGGAATCCGGGAGAGTCCACATCATCGTAGCGCGAAACAATCCGCTTTACCAAGCCTTGTATCAAATCGAGGCAATGAATCATAGTCCCGTTGACCAGCGGTATGTTTAGTAATGCGCATGCGGCTTTGTTTGGTTTAGGTAGTCTTAAATTTCCATCGAGATTGTGAACAAAATCCGAGAGATCTTCATACTCGATGTATTGGGTAGCATTGGGATCGTAAAGCTCCCATAACTGATAAAACAAGTCGATATCCTCGTTAGAAAATCCAATCTTCTCTTGTTCCATTACTTGGTTGTAGTTCTCTAATATAATAGCAATGTACATGTTGATCAAGATTAAAAATATCATGACGATAAAGCTCACGAAAAAGACCACTGCTGCAAGAGCTTGTCCACAATTCCCGTTTGGCAGACCCTTGTAGTCCGGATCACAATCAGGCGGCTTAATCATCAATGGATCTAAAACATCATTCCAGCCAGCAGATGTCATAATACGAAACAATAAAATAAAACTGTTACCAAAGTTCTCAAAGTTTACCACATCGTTAAGAGCCCCAGTTCTTTTGACGTTGCCGAATACAGACATTCCAACGACTGCGTAGATAAAGATGATGAGAAATAGAAGCGCTCCGATGTTAACCAAGGCGGGAAGAGACACCATCAGTGAGAATAGAAGGCGTCGTATGCCTTTGGCGGCCTCGAAGAATCGTAAAAGTCTTCCGACTCGGAAAACGCGAACTACACGGAGTAAACTTGGGCTGATTGGAAGAGCTCTCTTTAGATTCTCCAAGACAATACCTAAAATAAAAGAAAGGCCTTAAAGTTCCACTCGTGTATCAATAGTCTTTTTGTTTAATTTGATACGATACAGCCATGTTGGATGAAAAAAGCTTTACGTATAGACCTTTCCTGAGATAGCGAACATGGTGCATTTTGGTCTAATTTGGGTAAAAAAATCTTTTGTTTATCATGCCTTATATGGAGTTGATTGTACCAAATTTAGACCACAATGCATCCTGTTTATCGTACTCAAAAAAGTCCTGAGGCTATTATATTCTTGGGGTGCATGTTACGTCATAGCCGCCATGTTGGTTGACGATAACAAAGCTAGACGAGGCTGTTCAGTGCAGAACAATATATAGTCATCAAATCGGTCGCCATGTTTGATTCGGTGTATCTAGTCATTCTCAAGGCAATAACAACRCATTAGCATAATAAAATAAAGAGACTTGCCTATGATAGAACAGATGACGATAATGAAGTCAAACACGTTCCAAGGGTTATAGAAATACCCTCCTCTCAGGGCAGTTATTCTAAGTATCGCCTCCACGATGAAAATACCGGTAAAAATCAAGTTTAGTATTTGTAATGGCCACGCCAGGGCGAGGATCTCGTTAAGGACAATATACTACACAATGATTGGTTGAATTATTACAATGGCGACTCGGCACCAGCCTCAAATGGTTTCCGCATTTCAGCAATGTTTATAGTTTTCGCGCTTTCTTTTTACATAAGAAAGAATTCAATCCCCAAAAGCAAAGGGATTTTTATTGTTCTACCATCTAACCACAGGCAGCCCAAGCTGTATTATGGGCGCGGGCACGTGATGGTGCAAAACCTCTATTTAAGAGGTTGGACCCGGAAATACGTCACTACTACTACTACAGCCCTATGGACCTTTGTCGCGCACAATATCTATTCTCATGAGAATTAAAGCCATTGTTTCAGACTCATGCTGAAGCACTCGGACGCGAGGTTAGACGGGCAAAAATCTATTGTTCCAGCCAACATGGCTGCCGCGTGAAAAAGAAGTATTGTTAAAAATGAAGAAAAAAATCTTTTGATTATTGAAAGGATATCTAGTGTAAGCTCCACGTTCTCTGACTGATCGTAGTGCTGCACCATCATCACCGCCATGTTGATCGTTATCACCAACATGATAAAGACCTCGAATTTACGGCTTTGGACCACGTCGTACAACGTAGCTTGGATTACATTCTGGAAAAATATATAGAAATTTTAGAAAAAAGTTTACTCATTTCTTATTATTTCTCATTCATTTATTGGAATAAATAAATAAATAAATAAATAAATGAATAAATAAATAAATAAATAAATAACGATACATTTTTTAGACGAAAATTCAAAATTTACAATAACCATATTTAATTGTGCCGACACATTAATCAATCGGGACTAGTTGAACAAAATTGTACATAAAATAGGCTTTAGCCAATCAGTAGAGAGTTTGACTGAACTGCTTTGTTTTCAATCTTTTCAATCATAGTTTATGGTCAGCATATGTTGTTATAGCAACAGAGGGACCAACAAACAACCAAAAATAATACACCAAATAAATAGTAACAAAAATGTTTTTTACCTTTGGTTTTGTTATTCTTTTCTTTGGTTTCTTTGATGCTGCACTTTTCAACGCGTTCATCCAGTTTCTTTGGTTTGCGGTCAGGAAAATATCCATCGAACCCACTGTCTCCATCTTGAATTAAAAACCAAAACAAAAGGTTTTTGGTGAAAAGTTTCGTTATGTCGCGCCGTGCTGTAGCCGTGAACTTGAGTGGTATAGAAGAGTTACTCCCGGGCCAAAAGTGGAAAGCAGAATTATTTTTTTGCTTCTTTTCATTACAGGATTTGTTGTCTAAAAGTTCTCATTGTTTCAAGTGGAGGTTGAATTTTTGATAACGTTTTTTCACTTTATTTTAGCGGTTTTTGTGTTTAGTTGGTTTCGGAAATACATCACAACTCAAAAGCTCTATTCTATTTCTCAAAACCAGTGACGTAATTCAGGCGAAATGTTTTTTATCCTTTATACAGAATTCTCTGAAAGTGGCAGACGCTTGTGCAAGAGACATGTCAAAATGGCAGTCGTGAATAAACCGACTTGGGTTACCTGTTGTTTCAGTTGATTGAAGTTATCAATGATGACACCAATGATGAGGTTAAGGATGAAGAAAGTACCGAGGATAATGAATACCACGAAATACAAGTAAGCGATGAAGTTACACTCTAGACAAGGCTGGAGATCAATCTATAAAATAAAAAAAATCTGTCAAATGGCTTTTTTGCTAAAACACGAAAGAAAAAAAGTATAAAACTTTAGCTTAAAGAGGCTGAAAAATTAGAAGAATAAATATGTTAAGGTATCTTGATTATGATGTTTAATGTAAGTGACCAGGAAATGTATGGTACCACTGCACTCAAATGGCTTACGTAGGATGTAATTGGATGGCATATTTTTGCGCTCTTTGATTGGTTCAGACCGACTTAAAGCCATTTAAAATGAAGTAAACTTTCTAATAACTTTTAATTTTATAACATTTAGTCTTTAGTCGTTTGACAGTTTAATTCAAGTTGTCGCTATGACACGACAGCTTGTAACTCGAAAGTACTTAAGGAGGGGAGGGTGGGGAGGGGAATAGCTAGGGTACATACGTCAGTAGCATCAACGGCATCTTCCATGATTTCCATCCATCCTTCAAACGTTGCCTTTGGAAAAAAAGATAAAAAATTGATAAAGAATCACTAGACATAGGGAGCCCAACAAAATGTCCATTAACACACAGGGAGCCAATAAATCCAGATTTGAAACTAGTAACGATTTGACTCGTCGAACTTACCACTTGTAGAAGCGCTAGAAAACCATTGATAGCATTATCAAAATTGATGTTAGAATTGACCCAGCGATATCCTTTGTCCAAGCAGACAGTTTTATTAGGAATGATACTCGGTGAAAACTTGTTGCCATCCGCGTCAAGACACTTGAAGAATTTCCCGCCAAAACTCTGGACACCCATAATGCTGAATATCAACCAGAATACCATGCTGACCAGCAGCACGTTTGCTATGCCAGGAAAAGCATGGAACAACGAACTGATGACAACCTGAGGGAAGACCATGTATGGTTAAAGAATGGATAATGCATGGTTGTCTATTAAAAATACTTACTATATTGAATTCCTATATTGACGTTTAGAAATGATGATGACGTATAAAGATAGTAATGACGTATGATGATAATGATGACGTTTGATGATGATGATGATGGTAATGATGATGATGACGATGATGATAAAGGCGATGATGATGATGGTGATGATAGTATGATGATGACCCCTGATGATGATGACGTATGATAATGATGATGATGATGATGAGAATTATTATTATTATCATTATTATTATTATTATTATTATTATTACTATGAAAACTATTGCGCGCTTTCTTACCCTCATTCCTTCGAACCTCGAAACAGCCCTTAGAGGACGCAGAGCTCGTAGTGTCCGTAAAGAACGCATGTATGAAATACTATCATCTCCAGTTATGGTTACCAAAGAAACCTGAGAAAAATAACCAAGGAGTCAAGAACGACCTTCGATGTATCGCAGAAAATATGTACAATTTTTTCACTTGGCTAAAATCAAGAAGCACTCATGGAGGAGGAGGAGGGAGAGGAGGAGGAGGAGGAGGAGGAGGAGGAGGAGAAGGAGGAGGGGGAGAGGAAAGGAAAGGAAAGGAAGAAATTCTACTCAAGAATAAGCGTCCAAATTCCATCAAAAGAGAATTAATAAAAAATGTTAAATGTGTAAATAAATAAGAGACGTAACCTCTATTCGTCGAAATCTCTTTTACTTACAATGACGATAATAAAATCCAACCAGTTCCAAGGATTCGAAAAGTACTGCACAAAACCTAAACCAAACCACTTTAGCAACATCTCTGCAGTAAAGACTACAGCGAAGAAGATGTTCAAGTCATGGAGGATGCCTTTCAATACTGGATTCTCGTCGATGTTAACGTCTTCGAAGGCCTGTTAGAGACAAGAGTCGAATAGAAAGCGTTAGTCGTGTATCTGCTGTGCGGTTTATACTGTTGGCTCAGGTATTCTTTCCGAGGTATTTCCTATGGGAATGAAAACAAAGGCATGGGAGCCATGTTGAATGAAATAGTAGTTTGTTATCATTTCTAAGGACAAATACATGTCAGCCATGTTGGATGACATAGGGGGTTTGTAGTAATCATTTCTAAAGGAAAAAGAAAAGACACGGCAGCCATGTTGGATGACAGGCATGCGGGTTGGTAATCATTCAAAGAGGAACGACCTCCGTTCATATTTACTCACCAAAGCGATACTACTGGCTGCGATCAGAAACACGATGAACCATTCAAAATATTTATGGTCAACCAAGACCTTAGCTTTGTATCTCATACGAGTCCAGACTGGGTTTGTCTTGTTGGCACAACAGATACAACAACCTGCAGGGAAGCAGGGTTCAACATGAAGGATGTTCACAGTATGTTCTTCTGGTTTTATTGCTGGCGAAGGGTCTTGAGTGCCTTCAGCACTAGTTTGGTTATCTGAAAGAAAGCCGACTTTTTATTGGCGTTGCAAGGCAAAAATCAACTTCTAAATTTCAATTCAGTCACAGAGGAAGGGCCACAGGTTTGTTAGGCACTGGATATCAAGTGCTACCCCTTGTAAAAACAAAGACGATTTAAAAGTTACAAATTTTGCTTGTATGTATCTGTAATTTACAGGGAAAAAAGCTCACGTATTTTTACCTTGTACTTTTCCGTTCGTTTCTGGTTTCTGCACTTGATCAGGATTTTCGTCTTTCTCGGTATCATTTACTTGGTTGTCACAAGGTTCCACTTTAGTCTTAGGAGCAATGCGGTTTAATTTCAACCTCGAAGCGAACCTAATGGCAAGGAGAACCCTTCTCAATCTGTGCTTAACAGACGCCTTCCTTTGTTTCTTGCGAGCTCTTGCTTCCATTGATTCGCTGGCGAAAGAGCTCAATAACAACGCAAGGAATAGATTTAGAATCTGAAAAAGAATTAAAGGCGTTCATAAGAGAAAATGTTGCGCAAACCAAGATATGAATAGTAAACAGGTTTCATAGAAATGAAAAATGGAATTGCTGTGGCGCACCGCGGAAAAGGACCAAAAACATTTGTTGCGCATAATGCTACAAATGTTGGTTAAATTTACGTCACAGCTATTACTTCTGCAAACGAGGTCGTCATGGTGACACACAAAGCAGCTTCCCTAATCTTTCGCGAAAAAAAAATTTTCTCGCTTGATACCACTGCAAGTACAACAGTGGCACAGCTCAATGGGGTAGAATGGAATGCACCTATGGCAGTAGCTATGGAATGCAAGTTACAGATTATGTACAAGATATAATYTTTTATAAAATATTTGAAAATATAATGCGCGCGCTGATTGGCTGGCTACCGTGTTTGTATCAGAGGACAGAGACGCTTGCGCAAAGTCGGTTCAAAATGCTTTATAAAAGCAATGAAAAACGTCTCTTTACTGTGATATTAAACACTCTAAGCTTGCTTCCTCATTCTCTACAGCTCCCACCGGTATACAGACATGCACACACGTTTTATATTCCCTAAATATATACCAAAATACTTACTATGAAATTGCCAATAATGAATGCAGGTATATACAACAGCATCGCAACAGGACCAGTTGCTTTCATACAATCCCATAACGGCTCGATCCATTCACCGCACAACACGCGAAATATCATCAAAAACGAATGGAAAAAATCATTAAAGTTCCACCTTGGTACTTCCCCGCCGAATTTATCAGCCGTGTAGGATTTACCAAACAGCTGCATGCCAACTACCGCGAATATGTACACTATGATACCTAGGATGACAGTCAGGTTGGCGAGCGCTCCTAGGCTTTTGCCGATAGTTGAGAGAAGACTCGACATAGTACTCCAAGACTTGGCGAGCTTTAGAATACGAAGCTGCGGAGAAAAAAGATAGAAGGCTTTAATCGAATTGGTATTTAGCGTGCTTGGTCTTGCGGCGGGACGAAAAACGGAAGAACCAGAAGAATGCTATCGAATCAAGGGAGAGACCCAACAAACTCTACTCACATGTGATGTAGAGCCCAGGAATTGAACCCGACCGACCCCGCCAGAGGTGAGAGGCTAGGGCACCACCACTACACCATCTTTGATTTCCAATAGAGGCTTTGCACCATCACGTGACGGCAACCATATAGATAGCAGGAACAATACAACCGTTTTACATGAGAAAGAATTCGATTCCCAAGAGGAAAGGCTTTTTTATTGTTCTGACATCTAACCACAGGCAGCCCAAGCTGTATTATGGGCGTGGGCAAGTGATGGTGAAAAACCTCTATACTCAATAATCATTTCCTACTAAAACCTTCATTTCGCGGGTAAGAATTTCACACAAGACCGGAAATGACGTAGCAGTATTACTCACCAATCTAAACGTACGTAGAACACTTGTCCCAGTCCCGTCTGCTATTTGACACTGGACAAAGATGAAATCCACGACGCTAATAACGACGACGACACCATCAAAGATGTTCCATCTGCTTTTCAGGTATCCATAGAAACCAAACGCGATGAGCTTCAGGATCATCTCCGTTAAGAATGTAAAAGTAAAAACCTGGAAATTAATTTAACAGACGTAAAAGATATTGTACAATTTAAAAAGGGGCACTTGGATGAAAATCAATGAAAATTGGAAATGACTTGAAACTTGTTTAAACTTATCTATATGGCCCAGATACTAGCCAGGTAACATGTTTTCTTCACAGTCAAAAGTGGCGGGGRAAAATTATTAATTTTATGCAGCATCTAAATTGTGAGTAAATGACGTCATTTACTCAACCCTATTGTTCTTTTCGCTTTTAACCCAAAATATCTCAACAGCAAGTGGCTCCCAGGCTAAAATGTTCACTAATCTGATTTTCATAATCATAATCGAGTCATATTATCCTCATATGCTTCAATTAGTCGGACTTTCAAAAATCGGGGCTTTTTCATCCAAGTGCTCCTTTAATTGTAGTTTGCGCACCTGGTTGACTTTTTCATTCATTTCCTTTCCTATTTTCCTTCATTCCTTTTCTTCTCCTCTCTGTCCTTTTTTCATTTTATTTATATGTACAATAAAATGTTTGGTTATTCTATTTTAAACAGTCTCCATGTTCCTATGAGGAGGGAGGGGAGGGTAAGTAGCATGTTTGAGAGAAATACAAACAAGATTCCTAAACAAGGCTCCATATTTCTACGAGGAGGGAGGGGAGGGTAAGTAGCATGTTTGAGAGAGATACAAACAAGATTCCTAAACAAGGCTCCATATTTCTATGAGGAGGGAGGGAGGGGAGGGTACGTACCTGATTCGCTACCAACACCACATGTTGTAAGGTAGGATCCATATCATGATATTCAATCGTCATAAATAAAGTGTTGAGTAGGATACAAAACACGATGAACAGCTCAAAATATTTACTACTGACAAGTATATTGATATATCCACGAGAACGCTCTAATCGCCTTTTAGCTTTAGATTGTTTCTTATGCTGAGTCTCTTGTTTGGTATGAATAATAAATGAGTTGTCAGGTCTTGGTGTCATGGGTGTTGATGGCGGTTTAGTACTGATCCAGTTCTGATGGAGAGCCTGGCTCTGATTTAAGTTACTATCAGTCTCTCTAATCTGTAGCACGCTTGAGTCCTCCTCAGATTTAAAATCTGTTGGTTGGCTACATGTGACTACAGGGATGTCGTACATTGTCTTTTGGAGGGATTCTGTTAAGACTGATTCATCTTTGCCGTACACTATACTCATGATACTTGCACGACGGACCGAGTAAGATGACGCTATTCGTTTCTGTGCTATTCTTTGTTCTTCTGTTTCCTGTTATCAAGACAACGAAAAAAAATAATCTTCCTGATTGATCAAGGATTCTTTAGACTTGTTATGGCAAACTTACCATTTTGCTCGCTTGTACTTCGTTCTCGTAGGACGCGGCCACCACAGCCAGTACGAGGTTGACGAGATAAAAAGGTCCAAAGAATATAACTATTGCAAAATAGATGACGTACCAAGGTCCCATGGTGAAGATGATCTGAAACAATAAAACTTTTACAGTTTAACATCAACCTGGACTATATATATAATATATCAACTGAAAAGCATTGTATTTACATCAGTCTCACTGCATTCATGCGAATGGGAGCAGACCTGATGTTTTATTTGACTCACATTATTGTAGACATCTTCCCAGAAGTCTAATGTTACTATTTGAAAACTTGTTATCAAAGCCCAACCAAAGTGATCGAAATTAGTGTAACCAAAGTTAGGATTGCCGCCTGCATCGATCAGACACGTGTAGTTTGTTGGACACAACCTGGACATTAACAAACACAACAGGTTAAAGAATTATTCATTATATCTGCTCTAAAGAGAGGGATAGAAAGAGAAGAGGGGTGGGGTAGGGAAGAGAGAAAAGAGGGGGAAGTGCAAATTAATGAAAAAAGAAAAAAGAAAGAAAAGGGAGTAAAATGAAAACAGTGAAAGAGAGAAAGAGTGAAAGAGGAAATGATTAATCAACACCTGACCAGCGGAATATCATAGTCACGTGATTGCCTCATAAGGTCAAGGTGTTCGTTGCCATGGTTACCTCGATCCTGTATTGTTTCCACAAACTACCGGATCTTCATCATCTGTCAACCAGAAACCTGAAGGAAACGAGAAATTATTTACTTTAAGAGCTACTGCTATAGTAAAAGACGTTTTTTCCCTACAATAAATAATGTGAAAGCTGAGTGCGCATATAGCCTGAACCTGCGTTGGTTAGCGGTCTGTGGTAAAGCCTACTTCTCATTGGCTAACCCCAGGTCACCCAATGTTAAATGTTATTTATTGTTTATTCTATTAAGGGTTCTTATTCTAGCTTGTGATTGGTTTGGTTTAAGGGTACTTACTGCTATTAGATGCATATGTTCTGTAAGGTACTGTTAGATTACTAGGTACAGGTTCACCGCACTTGTTACGTAACACTCCTACAAACAGCTGCATGCCAATCAGGGAAAATATACAAATGAAGAATAGCGTCAAGACCAWCACATCCCACAACATCTTCATCGACATCAGAAGTGTGTTCACCATAGCTTTCAGTCCTAACAAATATAACAAAATAGAATTGCTGGTTGGCAAGCATTTTCAAGAGAGTCAAAAGACAGTGTTGTTGCCGTTAACAATGAGAGATAGATAAATAGATAGATAGATCATGCGTAACAACCACATAACACGGCATTACATTCATAGTCACACGTACAAAGTTACGAAAAATGCGCATGCGCAAGAGAATGGATAGCGAGTAGAGGAACAGGAAAGGAAACGAAAGATGCAAGATATAGAAAATAAAAAGCTTGAAATACCTTTGACAGCAGATATGGTACGTAAAGCTCTAAAGACTCGAAACGTTCTGATACCAGAATAGTTACCGAACCCAGGTGCTATGGTTACATACCTGAAAACACGAACATCGAAAACTATAAATTTTGAAATACTTTAACTATTATAGCTGAAATGTTATCGATATCCTGAAAAGTACAACCAGATGTGAGCTGATCTAAGTCAGGTCACGGCTATCACAGTCATAGATCGAATCCTGCGTTGGAAACGTCTATCATCTAATCTATAATGATTTACAAGTCAGGCGACGGCTAGCTCAAAGATCGAATTGGAATCAATTTATGGTGTTAGGTTTTGTAAGGGGAGGGAATCCAGAGRAAATGTTTGAATCAACAAGGGAGAGACCTAACAAACTCTACTCATATGTGATGCAGAGTCCAGGAATAAACCCAAGACTCTAGAAGTGAGAGGCAAGTGTACTATCACTATGCTACCCTTGATTCATAAAGTCATATGTGAAGATTTTTGCTGTTGGCTTACCCCATTATGACTACGATAAAATCCAGCCAGTTCCATGGATCTCTAAGGTAGGCATACTTGTGGAAGGCAAAACCTTTTGCGATTATCTTGAAAAACATTTCTAAGGTATAGATGACAGCGAAGACGTATCTGTGTGATAAGAAACATGTCATACTGTAAGGAAGGAAAGCTATCCATCCATACATCCCTCCCTTCCTCCCTCCCTCCCTTCCTCCCTTCCTCCATCCATCCATCCATCCGTCCGTCCCTCCTTCCATCCATCT